CCTAAAGAGGATGAAGAAGTTTGAAGATGATTTTTTCAAGAAAAATTACAAAATGAATAAAAATAAATAAAGAATATAGCCAAATTTGTACCCAAAAAAAAAAGAATATAGCCAAGAAAAGAAACTATACAAGAACAAAAAAAAAGTGTATTTACTAAAATTTGAGAAATTTGGAAATTTTTGGTATTTGTTTGTGACAAATTGATTGATGCCTTTGTTTTGGAAGTTTGGTTCTATATAACGTTGAGATTGGGCGTTGAAAAATGAGCAAAGCATGTGAAGCGTTGACTAAACGTTGGAGGTTGTGGGGACGACACGTCGCGTTATGAGATGTGGGGGAGTGATGGATTGGATCTTACATAAATTGAGGGCTTCGTGGAAATTAGTTGTGGGCAAGGAGATATCGACACGTGATGGCCGTGCAGCCGACATGCAGGGTTTGGCATTGCTATCGTACTTTTTTTTATTGGTACAAAGATTTTTCGATTTTCAGATCCACAAGAGAACCGACTAATTCGGAATCGAGCCGAGTAGGACCACAAGGGCGGGAAAACTCTTCCTCAAGAGTTTTAACACTGTTGCATTCTCAGGGCTCGAACACGAGACCACTGATGCATTGCTATTGTACTTTAGAATAATAAAAGGTACGTAGTATTATATGCGTTTATTTGTTAGTTTAACATATATATATATATATTTCTATTATATAATCTTTTGTACTTGCATTAAGCAAGTTCTATAGTTTATTTATCATTTTAAATTATTCCTCCAATTATATTTGTATAAAAGGATCTTTAGAAAATCATAAGTGTTTCGATATAATTATTAAGTGTTTAAATCTTAATATGTTTAAGATATTTCACTTGGTTGGTAATTTTTTCCTTCTTGTGTGGTCAATCTGATATGTAAAATAATAGAATCGTAACACGTGTTAAAGTATCAATGTTTATGTCATTCTTTATCGATACAAACTTGATTTCATTATATTGTTTCTCTCATCTCATGTTATATATACTTTGATTCTAATAATTCATATAAAAAAGGGGTTTATACTTCGTTTGATTCTAGTAATTCGTTAAAAAAAAGGGGGTCACTACAAGAAAACACTTCAATTCCAACGAAAAATTCTACCGGCAAAAATTTATGTTGGAAATTCTAATTAATATTCCAACAAACTTAATTTTATGTTGGAATAAGTGTTGGATGGTTGAGGAATTTCAACGGATTTTTTTCGTTGGAATAGTTGTAGGAATTTATTTCCATAGAATTTTCCGTTGGATTTAAGCTATTCCAACGGCCGTTTTTCCCACAAATTTTTATACGTAGGAATATCCGTTGGAATAGCTATTCCAACGGAAAATATAAAGAATTCGAACAAAAAATTTTCGTTGTAATGTAGGAGTTTTTTTTTTGCAGTGGATAAATCCAGATATATCTACATGCGTGTAGCGTAATTGTTTTCAAAATATAACTAATTAAAAGGAACCATAAATATGACTTACTATTGACAAAATAAATAAATAACATATATCTAACTATATTTTACGTGCATGTTCAGAAATAATTGTTGCCAACGCGGTAGCAATAAATATATGTTGGTGTGTAACTTTGTGTTGAGGAATATATGAATTATTTATTTTTTATTTTATTTCATTTTATTTTTATTTTTTTGACGAATAAATTATTGATATGTTTTTTTTTTTTTGGGGTACAAATTATTGATATGTTTTAAGTTTTATAGTTTGGTGCAATTTCAGTATGGGCTGGAGTTATGGGAAGAAGGTGAAGGGAAACAGATAAGGCAATAACTATAGTAACACATTACACATATGATTATTAAAAATTCTATTTATTTAGAGTTTATAATAGTTCAATGTCAATACATAATTACACGACTTCAAAAAAATATTATATGTATGAAATAAAATATATTCTATGAATAGGTATCCAACTTATTCACTTTAAAACACAAATTTTATTTTGCACATTACACATATTTTGAATAGTTAGATTTAAAATGTTGTCTTAAACTTTGATATTTAGATGTAGAGTTCTTTTTTTTTTTTTTTT